GGAGGGGAGGGGCGGGGGGAGCGCTGGGAGCCCGGCCGCCTGGGTCCCATGCCCCTGTGTCTCCCCCAGCAGCCCCCCCTGCTGCCACGATGTTTTTCACTTGCGGCCCCAACGAGGCCATGGTGGTGTCAGGTGAGTCGCACCCCAGAGCCGGCTGCATCCCGGGCCCTGGGCTGTTTTATGTGGCTGTCCCCAGCTGCCCTACCCCAGAGCCAGCTGCATCCCAGCCTGGTGGCTGCCATGGGCCGTTCTATCTGTGTCTCCCCCAGCAGCCCCCCCTGCTGCCACGATGTTTTTCACTTGCGGCCCCAACGAGGCCATGGTGGTGTCAGGTGAGTCGCACCCCAGAGCCGGCTGCATCCCGGGCCCTGGGCTGTTTTATGTGGCTGTCCCCAGCTGCCCTACCCCAGAGCCAGCTGCATCCCAGCCTGGTGGCTGCCATGGGCCGTTCTATGCGGCCATTCTCCTGCCCCACCCCAGAGCCAGCTGCTCCCAGTCCCTTCTCTCCCGGCTGCTCTCTCCGATTCCCTACCCCGCCAGAGCCAGCTGCACTGGGGGGAGGGGGGGATGTCCCTGGGCTGTTCTGTGCAGCCATTGTCCTGCCCCACCCCAGAGCCAGTTGCATCCCAGCCTGGCTGCCTCCATATGCTGCTATATGTGGTGGTCCCCTGCTTCACCCCAGAGCCAACTGCAACTCCAGCCTCTTCGCCATTCTTTGTGGCCATTGCCGGCTGCTCCACCTCAGATGCTGCTGCTTCCCAGCCTAGGGGGGCTCCCTGGGCTGGTCTGGGTGGCTGTTCCCCTGTCCCACCCCAGAGCTAGCTGCATTGCCAGCTTGGGGGTCTCCTTGGGCTAATCTATGTAGGTGTCCCCAACTATCCCACCCCAGAGCCAGCTGCATCTGGGCACGAGGTGGCTGTTAACCCTTTGCTCCCTTTGCCGCAGGCTTCTGCCGCAGCCCCCCTGTGATGGTGGCTGGGGGCCGGGTCTTCGTCCTGCCCTGCATACAGCAGATCCAGAGGCGAGTCCTGGGGAGGGGTACTTCCGGGGGGGGGGTCTAGAGCCCATTGATTTGGTTGGGGGGGGGCGCTGAATTGGAAAGACCCC